TTAATTAGCATTTCGTCTCAAATAAGAAGGTTTAATTATGTTAACTGCTTGCAAATCACGGAAAAGAAGTTTACGACTAAAAGGCAAATAAAATAATAGTAGAAGGTTTAATAATTTTAACTATTATATTCTTGACCTTTGAAAGTAGGGCTTTAAGGTTAAAGGTTTGAGAAGCATGACGAGCGTTCTTTTTAAAAGGCGATTCCTCTTCTAAAGAAATGTTTTAACACAAGTGTTTTATCATTAGTATTTATTTTGAGGAAACTAGATAGTTCAGTCCAAAATATATTATTAATATCAATATTTAAATGCAATTTGCCTAAATAGTACTACTTCTCATACTTAAATTTTCATTCGTTACAAATCACTGGCAATTACATATGAAATATTTAATAATAAAATACAGTCATTCAGCCACTTAATTTATTTCTTTGCTGATAACATTTGTGTGCAGTAAGTACTGAAAATTAATTGTTTTCGCAAGGCCTGCTAGCGGTACGATTTTTAAAAAGCTGCATACCACCTTGCCTTAAATCGTACCACCCTTTTAAAATATTGAGTGCTTATGATTAAGGGTATAAGTAGACCATGTATAACGTAAAATAATTTTTTAATATAATCGGAAATGTGGTATAAAACTAACTGTTACAAGTATAGCCTATAAATTTGTTAATGGAATTTGATACTACGTGTTGCAAAGTTCAAGCAGACTCATCACTTTTATCCCCTTACCGATCGGTTAATTTCCTAGAAAACGGTTATTAAAGTGCCTATTTTTTTATCCCTGTCTCCCTGATGAGTGCTGACATCTAGTTTAAAATAAACTAACTATCTACAATTACCTTGAAAATATCCTGGTACTGCCATCTGGTGTGTAAAATGAGAAATAAAATGTTTTCCGGGCGAAAGAAATTAATTAGTTTTATTCTTATTGGCGCGTTACTACTGAACACTCTAGCCCGGAAATATCATGGGAGCGGAAAATAGAGGGCGAAACCTCACCCCGTTATTTTCACGGGAGCGAGAAGGAAGAGGTTAATACGTGCAACTTGATAATATTGCATTTTTCAGGACTTATAACCAACTTTCTTCAACATAGGTAGGTTTAGGAAATGGGGAAATTGGCTTGATTGAAACCTTTAACAATGGTATTGTTACAGATTATTCTATAAATACTAGATCATTATTTGACTAACCAGAAAACATATTACTTAGATGTTTTTTTTACCACTTTTTTTCTTTAAGGGAATAAGGAAAAAAAATCTCAGTAAATTTGACGAAATAGTTTCGTTTCGTTCCGATTGATTCATAGATTGGTTTTATGTTCAGTCAAAAGTCCGTTTAATTAAAGATTGTCTCACCAGGTAGTTAACGTTTCAAATGGATGCAGTTATGTCATGACTCATGAGTCTCACTGAGAGGATGAAAAATAACTTATTATGAGAAAGTTAGTCCAGAAATAGTATTCAGCAACTTTACAATAGTTTGGGTAAAGTACAGTTTAAATGGCTTGATAAACTATTTGTTTAGTATAGCTGAAGTTGATACGTTTTTCCTAAATCGTACCGGTGTGATTTAGGACTACATATGAGATACAATTTAGGTATAACAACGTAACGTTTTAAGCAAAATATTATTCCAAGCTTCAAACGAGAGTTAGCCAGAAAAGAAACAATTAGACATAGCAGAATAAATTGCTTAAGAATTATATGATATATCCAATAAACTGCACATCATTTTATTTCTGCTCTATCTTTACACACGGTGCTCAAATATTTCACTGAGAACTTGTAAAACAGAAATACTAAGTTCAAGTACTCAGTGACTTGATTCTTTTACATAGATATGCACGTGAAAAAAGGGCCCTAATTTGGCTACTATATTTGGGGTTTCCGAAAGATGCTCCATGGAATTTTAGGGTTTCGTGCGAGAGTTAAAAGGATTCCGAGAAATAAATCTTTTAACCAGTAATGATTTTTGATACCTAAGCTATGTACTTAGATCCAATTAATAATCCATTATTTATATAATTTTGGATAAATAATTTAAGTGAAATTATTTAAAGTAAAATGCCATTAAAAAAAAGTAATTATATTTGTCTTAATATAAACATTTGGTTAATGAAATATGAAAATCATTAATAAAAAAATGAATTATAATCATTGCATTAACATTCGCGCTTTTTAAATTAAAATAAAACAATTAAATTCATTAACCAAGAAACATGTTTCCTTAATAACTATTTTTAACGTTAATAGCAGTTCTTTTTAAGTTTCATTTGACTGAAAATCGTCATTAGAATCGTTTCATTTTAATTTCCACTTTTGAACAGGGCTCGAAAAAAAGAAACGGATCACCTTGAATAACTTTTGATCTAATGATTTAATCTTCTCTGACTAAATTTTAATGGCTCAAAAGGGTAACATCAAATATGTTATTTAATAGATGCTAACGATATTTTAAGTAAAAAAATCCGACGTAAAAACTTACTTTTTTGTATAAACCTACTTTTTTGTTGTTGATGGATTTGAATTTTTGTCTCCCAAAATATAGGTGGTAGCTGCTATCTGGGAAATATGGTCCCAATAATTTGATCAAGAGATTGCACCAAAAATTAGACTCCTTTATGTTAATTTTACTTTCGTGAATTTTGCGAGAAATTTTTGAGCAAATTGAAAAATTTTTGCACACAATTATAAAATTTGTTTATCCACAGATAATTATCTGCAAAAAACAACTTTTAGTAAATATTTATTATTTTTTTATTTCATTTATAACGGTTAAAAAAATTTTGAATTGTAAGGTATAGAAATTTTTGCATCAATTAAGGGAATATAATGCTATGAAAAACTACAAAATTTGAGCAAAATCGGTCGGATAGTTCCTGAGAAATCAAAAAAGTCAAATATATAAAATTCTATTTTTCAGGCACTATTCAACCGAAGAAATCGTGCGAAAAAAAGGTATGTTTATTCAGAGAAAGTACGTTTTTGTGTGCGATGAACTTAAAATATCGTCTGTACTTATTAAATAGCATATTTGAGATCACCCCCTTGAGCCGTTAAGATAGAACGTGAAGATCCGATCTTCAGATCAAATGTTATTCTGGGTGGTCCGTTTTTTTAGCTCACTATACATGCAACAAAAGACAAATTCATAACTAGACAATATTTAGCTCCATGACTGCGAATTTATCTGTGGAACTTTTTGAAGGCTGGATGATAAACGATGGAAAAGGTTTCATTCTTCGTATTTCATTTTAATTTTATAACCGGCGTTGAACAGCTGACTCAATTTTATGGGTTTATTGCTACTCATGTTCAACTCCGTAGCTTTGTAATTTTGAACCCAATCCAGAAGACAAGGGAACTCTTGAATCGAATATTGGGAGAAATTTGCCTTCGTGGAGGACTTTTTGATGGGTCTAACCAGCATTTGCATCACATGGAGAGGAAGACCACGAGAACCTGGCGGCAAGGGAACTCTAATCCATGATCACTGAGGATATCACTGAGGATATTTCACGTCAGTACTGTGGTCGGTGCGAGCCGGGTGCTGAATTCGAATTGACCAGCCATCACTGGGATTCGAACCCGGTTCACCATTTGAAGGTGAGCGCTCTATCCCCTGAGCCATCGCGGTATTGTAAATGATTTTTAATGTTTTCAAAATAAAGTAGTATTTTATTAGTTAATACGTTCATAATTGCGATTAGATACAAAATAAAGAAAGTCGGGGTACCGCCGAAAGACTGTTGATTACTTACGGTTCCGAAGCATAAACAAAAGTGGGAGCTGCTGCTCTAGATCATTCTATATACAATGTTCCTTTTGAAATCAGAGGTGGTACTGTTTAGGAGAAGTACGATTTAGGCAATTTCTTCTATATCCAATATCAGAGCACCATGTGTATGTGTTTTACTTTAAAAAGCTGAAGTGGTAAGTAGCAGACATGGTATAAATATGTAATATCACATTTTTCATATTGGTTTTATCCATTTATGAGCCGTAATGGGTTAGTGGGTAAGGCATTGGATAAGTTATAGTAAAGAATTGTGGTTCGATTCCCAATGACGGCATGAGGCCCACCTAGCTTCATGCGAATGGGTACGGGAAATTAGTTTAGATTGTAAGTAAAAATAGTTAGTGCTCAATACTGAGCACAGTGGAATGCTTTACTTTTTTGTTCTCTAATCAGAAAATGAATCCAATTTACAAAAAACAAAGGAGACAAAGAATTATATTAACAATTAAAACATTAAATCAAAGTGGAAAAGTGCCTAACGCAGCTAAAACCAAATTTGCTTTATTTTAATTTAGATATTCAATCAAACACTAAATCAGGAAGAAGTAATAGAATAAAAGAAATGTGTGTTTGTGAGACAGCACTTCTTCAGGGGACACACTGCTTACAAACACACAGAAGCATTTCTGTTGTCAATGGAAAAACCAAAACTGGCAGTGTGTCTTCCGAAGAAGTGCTGTCTTACAAACACACATTTCTTTTATTTTAATACCCTTTTGTTAGTCATGCACACTGTAACGTTTTTTTAGGATTGGACATTCATGGTGCTTCTTTAAAAAAGTAGTAGAAAGAAGACGGTATTTTTTCTCATTGGCTGTCACCTTGATTTCATGCTCTCACAGTTTATGAGTTCAGAGCTCAACAAAATGCTTTAACAAAGCATTCTTACATTCGTTACTGTCATAAAAGAGCGTCAAAATCTGTGGATTAACTGTTACAATCATATGCACTGTTATGTTAGTGGTGACATTTACGTAATATTTTACCTAAAAACTATAAAACTTAGAAACTTGAGACTGAAAAATGTGCAGAGAAATATACATGGAATACTATTGAGTAAAAAAAACTTGTGGTAACTGTTAACTATTAAATTCGTAGTAAAAAATAATAGAGCAAAAAGTTTTAAGTTCGAAATTGTTCGATACTATTTAAGTTTAATTCCATGATTTTAAATAATTTCAAAATCCGGATCTTACTTGAAGAAGGAGCATAACTTTCTCTTTCTCGATTGTCATCGTGTTTTTTCCTTGACTTTCTCTTTGGTTCGAAAAAATAGACTCTGAAAGGCTTTGGGGTTGAACTAGTTGTCGAAGAATTTGAAACTGGCTCCACTTTTTCTTTTAAATCTTGCACTCTCAAATTAGAGTCTGACTTTCGCTGGCTTCTTATAGGTATTGGATATGCAGTAGTTGAGTACCGAGATTTTGGAGCAGTTGTTGATTCTGCAATTCTGGCGACAGTTGGGCGTACTGTGCCAGTAGTAGGCCTTGTTGGTTGGGCTCTGAAAAGAACATTGGCTCTGTTTGGTCTTATTGTAGTACTACGTTGTCTTGCAGTTGGGGTTGATAAGGTTTGTGTAATAGGATAATCTGTAAAAGATATTTAAAAATAAATACAAATCTCAAACATGTAACTTAAATAATATTACTATGGATACCAGCACACGTCGATATCGATGGTAATGAGAAAACTGATATCCTGGCCAAGGAGGCCCAAGATAACTCCCAACTTTCCAACAGCCTGACCCTAACTGATGCTGATGCGATAGCCAGCCGCAGACTACTTTCTGCTACCTCTCCGACGCACTCCATCCCTGCCCTAAACTGTGATAGAGCCATTTCCACAACCATAGCTAGATTGAGGACTAAACACTTCAAAGGAATGAAAATATCTCCCGATGGCCATCGAAGCTACAAAATTTGTCCTCACTGCATCGACACCGAACTCTCTTCCCGACCATATCTTTGATTGTCCAGCAATACTGGCGAAGCTCTTCAGGATCCATCTGGATCCCCCGCAGCAACTCCTCTATTCCATAGAGATTATTGATGAGACCAAAGCTGTTATAGATACTTTTGGACAAATTTAATTTTCCTTGCACTACTGGACAAGACAAAAACTAATAATATTACTATATTGAGAAATATATAGCAAGCTATTACATCTTTTGAACTTATTATGCATAGTGCAAGTGCGAACTATAGTTTGCTAAACTTTTAAACAGTAACAGCTGAAAAAATAAAACGATTTGTAAATATAGTAAAGTAACTAGAACAGAAGTATTTGGCAAGAATGCCTGTAACTCCCTCTAGATAAAAAATCCAAATTTATTAAATCTTCTTAATCTTTCATTAGATCTTTATTGAAATATTTAGTGATATGAAAAATGCCAATTTTAAATTTGAGAATAATTCTTAATTTGGTGCAAGAAAACTACTCACGAAAAGTTCTTTTGAAAAAAAAAACCCAAAATGTGTTTGTTACTCCTTTTTTTACACTGACAAATAGGTTCCCTTTTATTTTTTGTGACATTTTCTTCATTCTCCTCAATTCATGATATCACACGTTTGGAAATAACGCCATATGGGTTTCCTTTGTGAATTTTATTAGCGCACGACACATAATATTTTTCTAAGGCTTATTTTTTTCCTGATACATAGTTTTTTTAAGCAAGCTATTTAATTCGTATCTTTTCCATTTTCTAAAATGCTTTATTCAATGTTTTTGCAATAAATTCAAAAGCTATTTTCGATTCTGAAATTCATAGAAATAACTTCGTAACCGAAGTAAGTAAATAGGAAGTTTGAGTTAAAGTTGAAATAAGAAAATATTCTATAGAGTAAATTATATTTAAGTTTTAGAAAGTTATTGTAAAGTTATAGAAAAAACTAAAAATATAATCAATACATGCTAGTATTAGCATTTAGTTTTTTAAATCACTGCAGTATAAATTGTAAGTAATTGATGAAGTGGAAGAAGCAGGCTACTTGTCAATAATTTGATAACAACATGTTCAATTATTAACAACAATAATTTGGAACAACAACAATAGTTGATATTATATGGGCTCAAATGTACCCATATACATCGCCAATTTATTTAAATTTTTTTTTAAATAATTATAACTTTTAATTTCAGATAGAGTCCTTATAAAATCTCTTTATTTTAGATTATTTCGAAATAAATACGATAAATGTTGTTATGTCGTTAAATATGCCGTTAATGTCCCAAAAAGAGGAGGGATATGATTTTTAACACAGCATTTATGAATGCTGAAATGTTTGTAATTTTTTGATAATTTTTTTAAAAATAGTGTGAGGTCCTATCGATTTGCCTCTATCACCTGTTTGTAGATGCATTTACTTACAAAATGATATAGTAAGTGTTTTTGAGCGACGATGCTCTTTTGAGAAAAGCTGAATAAAAAACTCAGATTTTGCATTTTTTTTTAAAAGTTGAATGTTTATATTCACTAAAAGCCCTGATAATTCAGAAATGTGCTGGGTCACAGAGATTGTCCTAATAGTGAAATTTATTCAGCAATGAAATAATTGAAATGCTGTTTTTAACAAAAATTTTAAAAAATGCCAAAAACCAAATTTCTCAACAACTTTGACAGAGCGCAACTAGAAAGCAAAAATTCCCCATTGAAACGAGTGCATGTTCTTAAGAGGGCAGCGATATTCTAATGGTATAAAAAAACACTACGGTGTTGTTGCTTTCTTTAGATAAACCATTTAAAACATACTTATATTTCATTTTTAAAGAAATGAACTTAAACTTTGAAATTTTCAACAGGATCGGGAAAATTGTTCTAGGAGTTCAAACTTGCACAATATTAATTTTTCATCACCCACTTTGATATGAAAAAAAAGTCAAGAAAATTAAAAAAATACAACTATAATACATAGTCGGAATTTTAAATAATGGCTCTTATACAATGTCTAAATCTCTCAAAAATTGGTAGAGGACCTCTAATTCCAGATGTACAGGGGCAAATCTATAATCAGGTGGCAAAAACTGATTAACTGGTGCTTTTGCATATTTATGCACCGTATGCATTTGACAAGGAATCTATCACCTACATAAATTTATTTTATCTTTATTTCGGTTAGACCAAAAATACTTGCTAACAATTAAAGATTTAGTGGCTCTTATACATGGATGTGAAATATATTTTGTAAATTATCAGATACTTCTTAAACTTATGAAACACATAAAACTTATTTGATCCTTAACCTATATTACAATATAAAGAAAAATTGGAATCAGGTATTCCTACTTTAGTTAAAGTTCCTGAAAGTTTAACTTTGCCTTCTAAAATTTCCTTTAATTCAGGAACAGAGTTTTAATTACTTTCCCATAAATTTACGTCAGACAGTAACGAAAAATGAATTTCCCATATCCGAAATAACCTCTCTGCTACATTTTACAAATTAATAACGTAGATGTTCGTAGTAAAATATTAAATAAAATCTAAGTGCCTTAAAAGTTTCGGCGAAGACTTATTGTTACTCTGTCTTAAAACAAAAATAAAGGGTTAACGATCCTTTAAACAAGCTTCTAACATGAGCAGAAAAGTATGTAAAGGCCATCAAAAGGAAACTGCTGAATACTACTCATAGTTTGCTACTTATTTGACAACGGTGTCCGCTTTATATATTGTTTTACAAGTAAAAAAATATTTTGGTATTTTTTAATTATGAAAAAGCAGTCTAATAGTAACTAAAAAAATCTGTTAGATTTTCGGAATTATATTTGTATGAAAATACGAAATCCAAAAAAATGTAGTTTAATTTTCTTTCTAAATTCAACTATTAAAAAATTATTAATAATTGATATTGTACATTAAAGAAATTTCATTGATAAGTAACTGTTTCTTTCAGATCTAAATAAATGCAAATTTGAGAAAATATTATTCTTGGAAACGAACAGCATTTAGGAATACTTTATACCTTTGATGCAATAAAGATAACAATGTCTTATGATCTATTTTATAAGCATAAATTATTTAAGTGCTAAATATAATAATCTCTTTACTTATTTTGACCTAAATTAATACAAAGTAATCAACATGTTACACGTATACATGTTTATAAAAATTCGGTATTTTTCCATTTCGAAGGTGCAAGTAAATTCAGTTATTTTTTTAAGGTTTTTTTTTAAAATGCACTTCACCAAAAAAATTGAATTAACATAAGCCGAACAGTGGTGGTTCAGGGTATAGAGCGCTCGCCTTCCATTGAAATGCAACGGTTCAAATCCCAGAGATGGCTAGTCGATACGAATTCCGGACCTGACTCGCACTGACCAAAGTGCTGACGTAAAATATTCTCAGGGGTAGACGAATCATGGGGTTAGAGTCCCCTTCCCGTCAGGCTAACCGTGGGAGGGTTTTGTGATTTTCTTCACCATGCAACGCAAATACGGAATAGTTCCATCAAAAAAATTCTACACGAAGGCAAATTTCTCCCAATACTTGATCCAGGAGTTCTCGTGTCTTCTGGATTAGGTTCAAAATTACAAGGCTAGGTATTTAGACATTAGTAGTCGTAAACCCAAAAAAATTGGATCAGTTGTTCAAGTTATAAGATTAACATAAACCAGGTGACTTTTCATCGGTAACTTTATAGCTCGCACTGGCGAAATGGAAAAGTACCAAAAATTCTGCTTTAAATGGTAACGAAGGGATGGGAAGGAGGGACAAGATAAAACTATTATACCTGTTTACTGTTGTTTTTGATTACTTTTCTATTCATAGAAGGACAGCAGATAGGCACAAAAGGTAATTAAAATAATTATAAATCATAAGTAAATAAATATACTTGCTTGTTGACATATTTTTACGAATTATCAATGATAAGAAGGGTAAACAAAAAATTATTTGCCTTTCTACTTTAAAATAATGTGTATTCAAAATAGTTTTAGAAAGATTGTATGAAAAGTTGTCTTCAGTAAATATACCCAAAGGATGCATTTAATACAATTCTAATCCAAGTAATTTATTTAAAAGTAATAAATCCAATGAAATGTCAAATTTGTTTGAATAGAGTTTTAATAAACGATAACAAGGGAACATCAGTTTCCTTGCATTTAACTGTATAATCAATATTTTGAAAGCAATGGCGCTCATTATTTTAAAGTTACTACCCATTTTTATGATAAATAAGTAATTTCTTATTTGAAATGCTACTTTAATTAAAAACTTTGGAGTATTCCGATAAATAAATGTTTATCCATAAAACGCAGAATATTTTCTAATGCCCATTTCTTCTTCTTCTTACTTTATTTTTCATTGGATAGGCAAGCTATCAAATTTATATCCATTCAATTTTCTGTAATGATTCATTCAATTGCTCTGCAATAACTTAAACAGTTTTTTAAATTCAAAGTACAACTTCTGAAAGTCATAGAAGTAACTTTATAGCTGGATTCAATAATGTTTTAATCGAACTATATTCCTGAGTCTGGTCTCAACTGAGGTTCCAGTCAATCTATCGGTATCGACTGAGATACCAATTAGTTTCAGAAAAAGGAAAATATAAAAATATAATAAAAAAAGTTAAGCCTTTTCGCACAAGCTAGTCGC